CGGCTTTTTTTCGCAGTATTAGCGAGAGATCGGAATGATGTGGTCGCAATTAGGTGCTGTTTTATCACTGCTTCAGGCAGTTGGTGAATCGTCCCGCATCGCTGTGGCGGCAGTACAATGATGGTTGATGGCGTGCTCGTCGTCGCTGTTGATGTTCAAGCTCGAAAATGTGGAATCCAGGAATCCACTGGAATGCATCATATGCGACCGGGTAATTTACTGCTACTATCTCGCACTGCAGCGCTACGCGTATACCGTCGAAATCGAATGGGTAGCTGCCCATTTTTGCACAAAAAATGCACAAAACCGGTCTTTTTTGCACACAAAATGCACAAAACCGGCCCATTTGTTAAGAAAAATCCGCGGATTTTGAGCCGAGAACTGCAGGAATTGAGGAAAAGGCACAGGAATTAGCCATTAAGAACTGCGCCACATTATTGGTTTTACAGCAGTCTGCCACATTTGTCTTTTTCGTTCACAGTTTTTTACTTTTCAGTGTATTGTGGTACGGCTTAACTGTTTTTGACCCTTTTTTCTATTAAATCGTAAAAAAATCCGCTTCTTCTGTTCTCGCCTCTCACTTCGGCACTTTCTCCTTTCTCTGTTATAAGTCAGTTGTGGCACTAATTTCTGTCACTGAGATTGAATTTTCCGCTTTTCACTCATTTTCTTCTCACTTGGACAATTCTGACGCCTTTTGAGGTCAGGTTCAGAAAAGAAAGACTGAGCTGTATCGTGAAATGTACGTATCTGAAATCTAGGAATTCTCCTCGCCAGTTCGCTTATCATGTCAGCACAGTTACTGCCGAGAATGCATTCAAAATCGTAAAAGCTGTCCAGTTTGCGGTGCGCCAGTGGATGGCGAGGCGTGCCCGGATACTCTTCTTTCATTTTTGATTGATACCAGCCATGAAACTGCTGATGTATGTGCCAACTGTGATAAGGTATGAACACTTTTTACAAATTTACTCTTGCAAAGTTCACTAATCAGAATGGTGGCGTGTTGATTTGCTGGGATTTTGCTGTAAGTCCTTTCTGAGAGGCAAATGCTCGAGTGCACCTCGCATTCATTGGAGAACGACAACACTTTTTTTGAGTGCCGCTGGGTCATTCGTTTCGCCACACTCGTCTTCCCTTCTCCCTCCCATTTCCGTTTGCGAGGGTCTATGATTAATGTACTTCTTGCAGATATCGCAGCCAATGCATTTTTGTGAAACCTGTCAACAGGCGCTTTGTAATCGCTGCCGACAAAACACGCATCAGGTTTTTTCACATTTCTTTTCTTCACTTTGCCCATATTCGCTGTAATTTATCTATCGTCTTCAAATGTGCAGTGATTGCTGTGCACAGAACATGGGTGCTATGAAGTGTTTGAGATTTGAAAAGAAAAATGCTGACCGAACTCTTCAAATTTAGCGTGAAAACATGGAAATGCAAAGAACCCGTAACTTCATACTGCCAAGAAAACATAGAAATTCTTAAAAATGCTAGAACAGAATCAATCAGTAAGATTTGTAGTTCACTTATTCGCTGAAAAGTCAGCGTTTTGTGCTGCGCGACTTTCGGATCCTATCGATTATTCAGATTTTTCCGTATCTGTTTGCTTGAATGATGCGTATTTTTCAGGCGCGAATGTTTGCTGCCCATCGAGTTGTGCCGCTGGAGGAAAGAGCACGAGTCAAGGGACGCATAACATGTCCGAAGCATGGGGAGCCTTATATTCTG